AAATTTAGGGGGGATCGGAAAAATTTGTACCAGTAAAATGGGGGTGAGAGAGACTGCCCGGGGGGGATAGTTATTTTTAGGGGGACTTCAATGGGGGGTCTTAAGAATTTTTTTGCCATTTCAAGATTTCACCTGCCCTCCCCTCCCCCTCCGCCATACATTATGAACGCAGCCTAGGCCGCGTGGGATCACTTAGCTAGCAATAAATACCTTAGGACATTCTTTCCAGGGCAATGGATTCTGGAATGAATTGACGAAGTAGAACAACACCCATGACATCACAATATTATAATAACAGGCAACGAAGATACACACGATGGTTGTGGCAATCCCCACCCCACCCAGGGAGGGTGAGATGCTGCTCCACACTTGAATGGACCCTTGGCGCATGCGCTGACCCAGGCTGAGCTCGAGAAAGAAGATTGGGATCCCCTCGAATATCAGCATTATGAAGTAGGGAATCAGGAATGCACCTGGAAGAACAATGAAAGCATGGCGATTAAGTACATTAAAATTTAAATTTTATTGAAACCCTGAAACATCCTCTGAGCTGATCAACAACAGGACTAGGGTAATAGACCTCTTTACCTTGGGCGTAATGTTTTCCCCTTTCAGACCACATGTCATTATTCCCTAGAGTATTATTTCTTTGTTTAACAGCGGCGCATCAGAAGCAATAAATCTCAAAATCTAAAATCTACAAAGCTTTTCGCTGTTGTACCACAGCGTGGGACAATCACAACAGAGCTAGGCTCCAAACTAAGTGAAAGCCCAGAGATCGAATTAGAATTTAGAAGTTGATTTTTGTGGAGGGAGGAAAACCGGAAAACCCGGAGAAAAATCCTCGAAGCACAGGAGAGAACCAACAAACAACTCTACGACATCGAGATCGGCAGGACTCGAACTCGGGCCGCATTTTGTGAGAGGCGGCGCATTAGCAGCGCACGCCACCCGTGCTTTCCTAAATATGGATGCAACTCAAACAAAGGATCTTATTTTTAAGAGAATGACACGTAGTCTGAAGAATAAGACGTCTGTTTACRAATCGAATTGGAATATAGCGAGTTAGATCTTAAGGAAGAAAAAACCTGAAAACCCAGAGATAAAAACTCGAAGGGACGGACCTAACGATCTATACCAGTATGTGATGCTGAGGAGAGCAAGAAGACGTTCGAGCCATCAGATCAGATCGTGTTCGTGTTTCTACCCTTCGGGAGTCAATGAAAATAGCCAGCGTGTATAAGGTCAACCGGATTGGACATAATTGCTTTCCGTTGAACGTTCAACCAATCGTTTATATGCATTCTGAAATTCGATTGAACCAAACAAGGGATAATGCAAAAAGGTGTCATCTACGCGTTCAGGATCGTAACTAGTGGGGAGCACAGGGTGCACGTGCAGCCCCCCATAAAAGCTTAAGGTTCGCTCATCCATCTCCTTTTTTTTTGGTTCTGCTTTCTTTTGGTTACGTTTTTTTTAAAAAATGTTGAGATTTTTTTTTTTTTGGTTCTGCTTTCTTAAAAGAAACGATCAATGGTCCGATTTTATTCGATGTGCACCCTCCCTGTAAAAGTTCTGGTTACGGCCCTGGCGATTAGAGTGCTCTCACTACAAATTTATTTTACACTAGATAGTACGTAACAGTGCAATGTCTATTGTTTTCTATTTAAGCCAAATAGTACTAGTAACCACTCAGCCAGCTATTTATCTATCTGTTCGTCCATTTATTCATTCATTATCTATCCATCCACTTCTTTTGATCTTCAGTGTAACCAGCACCTATCCGGCCCACCCACCCATCCATCCATCCATCCTTCCAGACAACCACCCACTTCGTCCTGGTCATCTAACCACCTACCCACCAGGCCCACCCACCCATCCATCCATCCATCCTTCCAGACAACCACCCACTTCGTCCTGGTCATCTAACCACCTACCCACCAGGCCCACCCACCCATCCATCCATCTATCCAGCAAACCACCCACTGAATATGATCATCCAACTATCCATTCGCCCACCTATTCATCCACCCACACTGTCAATTAGATAATTCGTTTCCATGACAAGCGACTGTTTAACCAGCTTGATATAAGTCAATGATTTTCTTCCTGTCACAAAACAAACACAGGAAACGTCTCGAATGTTTCATCAGAGCGCCTTATCTTTTCACATCAGTATATCTGAATACATTATATCCAAAGGCACAAAAAACCTTCAATATTTATCGATGCCATTTAAAAACAAGTACAGCCATCGCCTACCTCCGCCATTTTTCTGACAAAGCCAAGGAAACCTCCAGATATTCCCAAGACCAACAGCGAATCCAATGGCTGCCAATAAAAACTGCATCTTGTTGTCCCATCCTGGTCTTTCTTGTGCTTCACCTACGACGTTAGTCTTGCGATCTTTCTCCTCGGGTATTATTGCTACTCTCGAAGACGAAACATCTTGAACATCTGCAGCGTCTTTGATTGTGGTTAGCTGAAGGTCGCCCATTTTTTTCTCACTCAATGACTCTGAAATCCCTGAAAAACATGACAATATCAGATTCATATGATTATAATTTACAACCGGATTTTTTTTCACTCGATACAAATAATCCCCATTGTTTCATGATCATTTTTCCTGGGAATTATACTATATCATTTTCCCCGGAAGTATTAATGCGTACCATGGCCAAGTTCAAGGTTTTGAATAGGACGAGCAGTCAATAAAGATAAACTAAGAAAGGTCCACAACGAAGTGGAACCATCTCCTATAACAAAATATAAGCCCTGTTGATAATTGAACCGCCCCAATGGTGTCTTGGTTTAGCATTCGTGAGCTGTAAGGTTTTATGAATATTGTGTAGCCATATCTGGGGTAGTTGAACTTTGAGTCTAAGGCTGGAATAACTCCGGGATATGGTGCGTACGTCTCACGGCAATTTATCAAATCATGAGAAAGAAAAGTAAAATATCTAAACAGGCCAGGATAATATGTTTTTGAAAGCCAAGAAAATGTACTACGTGATAGTCTTAAAGTTTTTTTTTATTCCTATGAGTAAAGTAAGTAGAGGGGAACCATGCCGTGCCTTGATAAATTATGTTTTCGATTTTCGATTTTGAGGTTGAAACACTTTAATTATTTTATGAAAAATTATTCCTTAAGATATATGCAGGAAATAATTAACGAAACAAAAAACAAAAAA